CACTCAGAAAAATTGAAAAATTGATAAATCACCCCCAATTGCTTATCACGATTTTATCTCAGGAACTATAAGTGCAAATGAGCTGAAATTTTCAGGGATTGTAGTCCTTTGGAAGGGATAAAATTCAGTGAAAGATTCAGCTTTCTATATATAATAGAAAAAAAGTTACGACCTTTGAAAGTTTTCCGAAAAAATCATAAGGGGGGTACCTTCTTACTAAAATGATGAAATTTCAAATTTTTTTTTGTCGAGATTTTGGGTCCTACTGGTCCCTCGTGATACCCTGAACTCCATACACAAAATTATTCTCAGATTTGAAGCCGAAATCTATGAAAAAAGGCACTCAGAAAAATTGAAAAATTGATAAATCACCCCCAATTGCTTATCACGATTTTATCTCAGGAACTATAAGTGCAAATGAGCTGAAATTTTCAGGGATTGTAGTCCTTTGGAAGGGATAAAATTCAGTGAAAGATTCAGCTTTCTATATATAATAGAAAAAAAGTTACGACCTTTGAAAGTTTTCCGAAAAAATCATAAGGGGGGTACCTTCTTACTAAAATGATGAAATTTCAAATTTTTTTTTGTCGAGATTTTGTATCTTGATGGTACCTCGTGATACCCTGAACTCCATATACAAAATTATTCTCAGATTTGAAGCCGAAATCTATGAAAAAAGGCACTCAGAAAAATTGAAAAATTGATAAATCACCCCCAATTGCTTATCACGATTTTATCTCAGGAACTATAAGTGCAAATGAGCTGAAATTTTCAGGGATTGTAGTCCTTTGGAAGGGATAAAATTCAGTGAAAGATTCAGCTTTCTATATATAATAGAAAAAAAGTTACGACCTTTGAAAGTTTTCCGAAAAAATCATAAGGGGGGTACCTTCTTACTAAAATGATGAAATTTCAAATTTTTTTTTGTCGAGATTTTGTATCTTGATGGTACCTCGTGATACCCTGAACTCCATAGACAAAATTATTCTCAGATTTGAAGCCGAAATCTATGAAAAAAGGCACTCAGAAAAATTGAAAAATTGATAAATCACCCCAATTGCTTAACACGATTTTATCTCAGGAACTATAAGTGCAAATGAGCTGAAATTTTCAGGGATTGTAGTCCTTTGGAAGGGATAAAATTCAGTGAAAGATTCAGCTTTCTATATATAATAGAAAAAAAGTTACGACCTTTGAAAGTTTTCCGAAAAAATCATAAGGGGGGTACCTTCTTACTAAAATGATGAAATTTCAAATTTTTTTTTGTCGAGATTTTGTATCTTGATGGTACCTCGTGATACCCTGAACTCCATATACAAAATTATTCTCAGATTTGAAGCCGAAATCTATGAAAAAAGGCACTCAGAAAAATTGAAAAATTGATAAATCACCCCCAATTGCTTATCACGATTTTATCTCAGGAACTATAAGTGCAAATGAGCTGAAATTTTCAGGGATTGTAGTCCTTTGGAAGGGATAAAATTCAGTGAAAGATTCAGCTTTCTATATATAATAGAAAAAAAGTTACGACCTTTGAAAGTTTTCCGAAAAAATCATAAGGGGGGTACCTTCTTACTAAAATGATGAAATTTCAAATTTTTTTTTGTCGAGATTTTGTATCTTGATGGTACCTCGTGATACCCTGAACTCCATAGACAAAATTATTCTCAGATTTGAAGCCGAAATCTATGAAAAAAGGCACTCAGAAAAATTGAAAAATTGATAAATCACCCCCAATTGCTTATCACGATTTTATCTCAGGAACTATAAGTGCAAATGAGCTGAAATTTTCAGGGATTGTAGTCCTTTGGAAGGGATAAAATTCAGTGAAAGATTCAGCTTTCTATATATAATAGAAAAAAAGTTACGACCTTTGAAAGTTTTCCGAAAAAATCATAAGGGGGGTACCTTCTTACTAAAATGATGAAATTTCAAATTTTTTTTTGTCGAGATTTTGTATCTTGATGGTACCTCGTGATACCCTGAACTCCATATACAAAATTATTCTCAGATTTGAAGCCGAAATCTATGAAAAAAGGCACTCAGAAAAATTGAAAAATTGATAAATCACCCCCAATTGCTTATCACGATTTTATCTCAGGAACTATAAGTGCAAATGAGCTGAAATTTTCAGGGATTGTAGTCCTTTGGAAGGGATAAAATTCAGTGAAAGATTCAGCTTTCTATATATAATAGAAAAAAAGTTACGACCTTTGAAAGTTTTCCGAAAAAATCATAAGGGGGGTACCTTCTTACTAAAATGATGAAATTTCAAATTTTTTTTTGTCGAGATTTTGTATCTTAATGGTACCTCGTGGTACCCTGAACTCCATAGACAAAATTATTCTCAGATTTGAAGCCGAAATCTATGAAAAAAGGCACTCAGAAAAATTGAAAAATTGATAAATCACCCTAATTGCTTAACACGATTTTATCTCAGGAACTATAAGTGCAAATGAGCTGAAATTTTCAGGGATTGTAGTCCTTTGGAAGGGATAAAATTCAGTGAAAGATTCAGCTTTCTATATATAATAGAAAAAAAGTTACGACCTTTGAAAGTTTTCCGAAAAAATCATAAGGGGGGTACCTTCTTACTAAAATGATAAAATTTCAAAATTTTTTTTGTCGAGATTTAGTGTCTTAATGGTACCTCGTGGTACCCTGAACTCCATAGACAAAATTATTCTCAGATTTGAAGCCGAAATCTATGAAAAAAGGCACTCAGAAAAATTGAAAAATTGATAAATCACCCCCAATTGCTTATCACGATTTTATCTCAGGAACTATAAGTGCAGATGAGCTGAAATTTTCAGGGATTGTAGTCCTTTGGAAGGGATAAAATTCAGTGAAAGATTCAGCTTTCTATATATAATAGAAAAAAAGTTACGACCTTTGAAAGTTTTCCGAAAAAATCATAAGGGGGGTACCTTCTTACTAAAATGATGAAATTTCAATTTTTTTTTTGTCAAGATTTTGGGTCCTACTGGTCCCTCGTGATACCCTGAACTCCATTCACAAAATTATTCTCAGATTTGAAGCCGAAATCTATGAAAAAAGGCACTCAGAAAAATTGAAAAATTGATAAATCACCCCCAATTGCTTATCACGATTTTATCTCAGGAACCATAAGTGCAAATGAGCTGAAATTTTCAGGGATTGTAGTCCTTTGAAAGGGATAAAATTCAGTGAAAGATTCAGCTTTCTATCTATAATAGAAAAAAAGTTACAACCTTTGAAAGTTTTCCGAAAAAATCATAAGGGGGGTACCTTCTTACTAAAATGATGAAATTTCAATTTTTTTTTTGTCAAGATTTTGGGTCCTACTGGTCCCTCGTGATACCCTGAACTCCATTCACAAAATTATTCTCAGATTTGAAGCCGAAATCTATGAAAAAAGGCACTCAGAAAAATTGAAAAATTGATAAATCACCCCCAATTGTTATTATCACGATTTTATCTCAGGAACCATAAGTGCAAATGAGCTGAAATTTTCAGGGATTGTAGTCCTTTGAAAGGGATAAAATTCAGTGAAAGATTCAGCTTTCTATCTATAATAGAAAAAAAGTTACAACCTTTGAAAGTTTTCCGAAAAAATCATAAGGGGGGTACCTTCTTACTAAAATGATGAAATTTCAATTTTTTTTTGTCGAGATTTTGGGTCCTACTGGTCCCTCGTGATACCCTGAACTCCATACACAAAATTATTCTCAGATTTGAAGCCGAAATCTATGAAAAAAGGCACTCAGAAAAATTGAAAAATTGATAAATCACCCCCAATTGCTTATCACGATTTTATCTCAGGAACCATAAGTGCAAATGAGCTGAAATTTTCAGGGATTGTAGTCCTTTGAAAGGGATAAAATTCAGTGAAAGATTCAGCTTTCTATCTATAATAGAAAAAAAGTTACAACCTTTGAAAGTTTTCCGAAAAAATCATAAGGGGGGTACCTTCTTACTAAAATGATGAAATTTCAATTTTTTTTTTGTCAAGATTTTGGGTCCTACTGGTCCCTCGTGATACCCTGAACTCCATTCACAAAATTATTCTCAGATTTGAAGCCGAAATCTATGAAAAAAGGCACTCAGAAAAATTGAAAAATTGATAAATCACCCCCAATTGTTATTATCACGATTTTATCTCAGGAACCATAAGTGCAAATGAGCTGAAATTTTCAGGGATTGTAGTCCTTTGAAAGGGATAAAATTCAGTGAAAGATTCAGCTTTCTATCTATAATAGAAAAAAAGTTACAACCTTTGAAAGTTTTCCGAAAAAATCATAAGGGGGGTACCTTCTTACTAAAATGATGAAATTTCAATTTTTTTTTGTCGAGATTTTGGGTCCTACTGGTCCCTCGTGATACCCTGAACTCCATACACAAAATTATTCTCAGATTTGAAGCCGAAATCTATGAAAAAAGGCACTCAGAAAAATTGAAAAATTGATAAATCACCCCCAATTGCTTATCACGATTTTATCTCAGGAACCATAAGTGCAAATGAGCTGAAATTTTCAGGGATTGTAGTCCTTTGAAAGGGATAAAATTCAGTGAAAGATTCAGCTTTCTATCTATAATAGAAAAAAAGTTACAACCTTTGAAAGTTTTCCGAAAAAATCATAAGGGGGGTACCTTCTTACTAAAATGATGAAATTTCAATTTTTTTTTTGTCGAGATTTTGTATCTTGATGGTACCTCGTGATACCCTGAACTCCATACACAAAATTATTCTCAGATTTGAAGCCGAAATCTATGAAAAAAGGCACTCAGAAAAATTGAAAAATTGATAAATCACCCCAATTTGCTTAACACGATTTTATCTCAGGAACTATAAATGCAAATGAGCTGAAATTTTCAGGGATTATAGTCCTTTGGAAGGGATAAAATTCAGTGAAAGATTTAGCTTTCTATCTATAATAGAAAAAAAGTTATGCTCTTCCAAAATTTTTGAAAATCTAAATCATAAGATAATTTTGCTAATGTTAATAAAACACAACAAAATAAATGTAAAATAAGTTTATTAAAGTAACAAAAGTAACCCATGCTCTTAAATAACATCCCCTCTAAAAATTAAAGGTAAAAATTTCGCTATCAGGGCTGATGTGAGATCGATTATTATAAAAGAGTACCAGAAACTGTTAAAACATAATAATACATTAAAGGCCGGTTTTTTAATAGCGAGTCACCTCCAGGAATTATGTTTAACCCAAGGGTGATTGGCTATTGAGAAACCGGCCCTAAAATTTGATTGGTAAAAATAAATAGTCAGATTTTAACAAATTGTATAGCGAAATTTTAACTAATAATTAACAAAATAATTATTGTTTTTAACACTAGACAAATATCAATCGATAGATGAGTCCTTTGAGGTGGTACCAATAATAGTTGTCTAGTGACCTCAATCTGACCAACATAAAAATAGGAATGTAAATTAAAAAAAAGAAAATCTAATCAAGCAACCCTTCAAAATACATTATACTAACAATTGGCGGCTAAAAAATTTCAAAATAAAAAAAAAACGTTGGCGAGATTGACGGACTAAAGGGCCCAACACACTACGTTCTGTCTCGCACTATGCGATTTTTTTGACAGTTTGGACCCACATACAACAAATCAAGACACACTGATAAAAACCGATAAGAAAGAACCTAGTGTATGAGGCCCTTAATAATAATAATAATAATAATAATAATTGAAAACATAAATAATTTAAAATTAAATAAAAATATACAAGATATACAAATTGAAAAAAAAAAATAATAATGGTACATATGCACACTTACTCTCCCTAATATATATATATAAAATATTATGCAAAAATAACAAGTTGACTACTTTATTTTTAGTAATTCTCGCGGGTCTTTTGTGTTTTTTTCAATAATTCATTTAATAATTGATTCCCCTAAAAAATAAATTACATTATACTCAGCTGGCAAATATATATATATATATAAATCTTCTGCAATTATTATATACAACAACCACTCAAAAAATGTGCGTGGAATTTTAGGTACACTGCACCTATAGTAGTAGGTATAAGTCACTCAACTTCAAAAAATTTTATTTTGATTTATTACAAAAGAAAGACGATTCACTCTCGTATCAAGATGGTGCAATCTTTGGCATTTTTGGTCAATATATAGGAGGAGGGCGAACGCAATATTTACACCGAAGAGGAAGGTTTGTCTTTAAGTCTTCTGATACCCTCCAGCACGTAGCGCACCAACTCTTTTAATGAACTGTGCATCGTTAGCGGTTTGAACTGTCTGTCCATATCAATAAAGAAATCTACAAACAAAGAGACATGATTAGAAAGTCCATCATCAGGACATTAAAGAAGAAATTCTCACCTGCAAACTTGCCATTGATCACCATCTGATCGGCCAACTCCCACAAATCCTGGTAGCTCAGCAAAAAAGTAAAATGCTGGTTTTGCTTTAGTACCGCACTGTAAAAGGAGAGGGGCACCCAGGTACCACCCGCTGGTCCCGGAGCCTGCGCAACAGCCGCCCCAGATCGTAACTCTCCGCTCGAGTACCCCGACGATTGGCTACCCACCGAACCAACCGAACCTGCTGGCGACGGGGTGGGAGATAGTGGGGACGGGGTACCTTGCCCCGCCGGACATGGTTGGTCCATTGGAATGGCTGCATTCTGAAACAAGTTTATATTAAATTTTGGTACTAATAGGAATTACAAATGTAGTACCTTGCTACAATAATCACTTATAACTTTTTGAATTTCCCTGCAATCGTTTTTTCGCATCTTGAATAGTTTGTAGTAGAGTAATGCTTGGCACCGGTAACTGCAAACAATATTACTCAAGAATCATAAATACAATTATTAAATATAGTTACCTTAAAATAGCCAATTTACTATGTACTTCAGACATAACAGGTTGGCTTCGGAATTTAGACGAAATATATTTAATCAAAGACAAAGTGTCTTTGTACATAGTGAAAGCAGTGTTTTCAGAAAACACCTCTTGCTCCATTGCATTGCCAGTCAACAGGAAAAACAGTACCGCTTCAAGATAAAGCATACATTGTTCAGTAGCATCGGTTTCTTTATCAGCCATATGTTTTAGTCTTTTAGCTTCACTTAAGTACTGATTGTGACTGCGTTCCTCATTTTCATCAGGCTCGTCCATGTTTTCAAAGTACGAGTAGTACTCGCGTCGACTGTTGTAAACAACCCGTTCGTGATTGGTCGGAGGTGTGTTAATAGTGGCGAGGGCCTCCTGCCGAGGTTGGTGATGTTTTTTGCTTTTTTGTGAGGCGGTACTCATTGACGATTCCGAGTTGTTGCTGTTTCTGCGCTTGCGCTTTTTGACTTTGATTGGTGGGAGGTCGGGTTTAGGTGCGGCAACGTCTTTTTCCAGGTCGGATTTGTCCGTGTCTGGGGGTTTGGAGTCGAGGATCCAGTGCCTGGTTCTGTAAGAAAATAATGGAAGATTTTTTTATTTTTGAGTTTTTCTCAATTTTGATTTCAGAAATCGATAAAGCGAGTCTAAATTAGTTAGAAACAACTCTTACATCAGTTAAATTTGAGAATTTTGACAAGAAAAACAAATCCAAAAGGAAATCTCAGTTTTGGCTCTGGATATTTTTTAAAATCTTGACATGGTCATGAGCAATTGCCCATATCTTTGTTAAATTTTGAGCAACATAACTACAATTACATATTATTGGAAAGAGCATTAAATTCTCTTCAAAACTGTGCTAAATTGGTTCCAGTTGCTCAAAGGGTTCCTGAGCTACAAACCTCCAAAGTTGGACTTTAGTCAAAATTCTGTCCAAAACTTGAAAGTCAATTTTCTCAAAAACTATAAACGCTAGCGATTTCAGCTAAGTACCATCTGAAAGCCCTTATCAAGAGCTACAATACCTGAAAATTTTGTCCCAGTACCGCTTTTGGTTAGCAAGATATTAAGCTTTAAACATTTGAAAATAAAAATCCAAAGGGGTACGTACCCCTTGGGAAAAAGTGCAAAAAATTGAAAATTTTTATTTTTGAATTTTTCTCAATTTTGACTTCAGAAATCGATAGAGCGAGTTTAAATTAGTCAGAAACAATTTTTAGATCAGTTAGATTTAAGAATTACACTGAGAGAAAAAATCCTATAGGAAATTTCAATTATTGCCTATGGAAATTTTTTGAAATATTCACACGCTCATGAATAATTGTCCATATCTACAATAGAATTTGAGCAAATTAACTACAATTATATATCATTGGAAAGAGCATTAAATTCTCTTCAAAACTGTACCGTATTGGTTCCAGTATCTCAACGGGTTCATGAGCAATCGCACTCCAAAGTTGAACTTATATCAAAATTTTGTCCAAAACTTCAAAGTCGATTTTCTCAAAATTATAAAAGCTAGCGATTTCAGCTAAATACTATCTGAAAGCCCTTATCAAGAGCTACAAACCCTGCAAATTTTGTCTTGGTACCATTTTTGGTTCCCAAGATAACATGCTTTGAAGATTTGCAAATGAAAATTCAAAGGGAAAAATGCAAAAAATTGAAAATTTTTATTTTTGAATTTTTCTCAATTTTGACTTCAGAAATCGATAGAGCGAGTTCAAATTAGTCAGAAACAATTTTTAGATCAGTGAGATTTAAGAATTACACTGAGAGAAAAAATCCTATAGGAAATCTCAATTTTTGCCTATGGAAATTTTCTGAAAAATTGACACGCTCATGAATAATTGCCCATATCTACAATAGATTTTGAGCAAATTAACTACAATTATATATCATTGGAAAGAGCATTAAATTCTCTTAAAAACCGTGCTAAATTGGTTCCAGTTGCTCAAGGGGTTCCTAAGCTACGAACCTTCAAAGTTGGACTTTAGTCAAAATTCTGTCCAAAACTTGAAACTCAATTTTCTCAAAAACTATAAACGCTAGCGATTTCAGGTAAATACCATATGAAAGCCCTTATTAAAAGCTACAAATCCTGAAAATTTTGTCTCAGTACCGCTTTTGGTTCCCGAGATATCGAGCTTTGAAGATTTGAAAATAAAATTCCAAAGGGGGTACTCTTAGGAAAAAGTGGAAAAAATTGAAAATTTAAATAATTGGATTATTGCGGAACTTATGGGTGGACCTCTGCGGGACGAGCGCAGCGAGTTCCGCAGCCATCTACTCATCAATATACTGTTAAGCGGGATAAGTAAGACATTCACCTGAAACGTGTAGTTTTTAAACTGATGAGAATAACTCAGATTTGAGTGAGTCAGGTTAGTAATTAAACAATATATTGATAAATAGATGGCTGCGGAACTCGCTACGCTCATCCCGCAGAGGTCCACCCATAAGTTCCGCAACAATTCACTCATTTGTACTTGAATAACTTGTCACATTACTTTTGGACTTGAGTGAATTGTATCCTGTATTCTTTTATTTTGCATTACAGTATTTATATCCGATGTCCACAGGTACAGGTGAGATTTATCACTTTTCAATGCTATTTGATAGGAAAAGGTGATAAATTTACCTGTACCTGTGGACATCGGATTGTGAATAGGATATACATATGTGTAATTATATTTTTGTCTCTTGTCACTTGTACACCTACCTTGTATTTCTCATTCAAGCCTATTATGTATCATTTCTCGTTATTTTAATAGCAACGTTGAGTTATCTGTCACTGTTTATTATATATACGTCAAAATAGAGACGGAAATACAATGTTAAGCCGTTAAAATAACAGGACAGGATATATCATATGCCTGATGCCTAAACGATAACTGAAAGTATACTATACATCATATTTTCAGTTATAACAGGGTTGCAAAATGAATAAAAATTATTTTAAAATACAGGGTGTCCCACGACGTTTCTCCCAGGTGATAATTTCGGAACGCGTCATCCAATATAATTGAAATTTTGAGGATCTAGGTAACTTTCTGTGCCGCTTCTACCATTGTCATCCAATTTTAGCATTTTTGCTTTAATTTCGGTCAAGTGACGTCAACTTTCGAATCTTAAATGTAACTCATGATATATTATGGTATTTTTCGTTAGAAAATTAAATTACAAAATCAGCTATGCCATATTTGTTAATGCTTTGTTAAAGGATATTACAGAAAATTATACAGTGGAACATACGATGATGCGTTCCGAAATGATCATTTGGGAGGAACCTCGTGGGACACCCTGTATATTGGATTCATATTTGGATCACCACATTATACACGCTATAAGTACGTACCTACCTACCACAAAACACAACATAGAACACTATGTTTCGAGGTACATTAATGAAAATGTTAAATTTCTCATAAATTTCATCGTCAATTGGAATTATTGTGAATTTTTGAAAATTTCTATAAATCGCATAACTTCTTATGAGATTTCTGACCGCGGTTAAATTTAACCAAATTTCAGTATGTTATAGATCTCATCTTAACTACCATGGGCACAACATAATCCTATGACTAGTTTTTGAGATACAGGTAGTTTAATGTCCAAGAAATGTACAAATTTTGAATGCATTTACATCTATCTATCACCTCATAATATATTAGGATGAAGGTATCCTCACACTCAGGTGACAGGTGACAGGTAGATGTGAATGCATATAACTACCATCAGTGCTCATAAGGGATTATTTGTTTATAATAGACTTCCATTTGGTATCGCAAATGCTCCAGTTATTTTTCAAGGCATTATGGAAAAAACTTTAGCTGAATTAGAAGGGGTGGTTTGCTTTATTTATGATATTCTTATAACGAGGAAAACACGCAAAGAACATATCAATAGTCAACAGAGGTAGGTGTAAATGCATATAAAATGTGTACAGGGTGGCCCGTTTATTTTGTCCTATCTCGGTATATGGAAATTTAGATATTTTAGGACAAAAAGTTAAATACAAAAGTTGTAGGGTTTAAATCATTAATTTGTTTTTTTATATTTGCTTATATACAGGTAGAGTCAAAAAAGTGTGACACATCAGATTTAATTTTTTTTTTTAATAGAACACCCTGTAAGATTTTATATTTTTTGATGGAGTTTTCAAAGACAAATATAAATACCTATATATAGTATGATAGGGTTGTTATGCACGGTTTCGGATTTATTTACAGTTATTATTGAGGAATGGTCAATTTTTAAATTATTGTAGAAACGTTAGATGTTAAGAATAAATATTTTAAAGTGGGACTTTGATCAAAGGGAAACATACAAATAAACAAATTGATGATTTGAACCCTACAACTTTTGTGTAAAACTTTTTTTCATAAAATATCTAGATTTCCATATATGTACCGAGATAGGACAAAATAAACGGGCCACCCTGTACATTTTTTGGATATTGAACTACCTGTATCTCAAAAACTAATCATAGGATTATGTTGTGTCCATGGTAGTTATTGATCAGAAAGGTGAGATCTTATAACATACTGAAATTTGGTTAAATTTGACCGCGGTCAGAAATCTCGTAAGAAGTGTGCGGAATTCTTTCAGCAAAGGACCTCGTAATATTTAAACGGAAATTGGTTACCCGTGATATTTGGATAAAATTCAAATATGTTATTGAACATTTTTTACCCTGGGCGTAACCTTGTATATATGACAGGTGAGGCGGTATCAGCTGTCAAATATTGAAATTAAATATTCTTAAACAGGGTACCTATAATAATTGTCTGTATGTAACTATGGCATATTTTGATGAAGTAGGTAGGTATTTCCTATTCACAATCCGTAGTCCATAGGTAAAGGTAAATTTATCACCCTTCCCTATCAAATAGCACTGAAAGGTGATAGATTTTTACCTTTACCTTTGGACATCGGATTCTGAATAATAATGGCGTTTCGGATTGGTAGATGTGTATTTGCATCCTTTTAATCACTCTGTAGAAGAAAAAGACAGAAGCGGGTCCAAATTAGTTAGAAACAACTCTTACAACAGTTAAATTTGAAAATTTCGACGAGAAAAAAAAAATCCAAAAGGAAATCTCATTTTTGGCTCCTGACATTTTTCAAAAACTTAACACGCTCATGAATAATTGCTCAGATCTTCGATGACATTTGAGCAAAATAACTACAATTATATATCATTGGAAAGTCCATTAAATTCTCTTGAAAACTGTGCTAAATTGGTTCCAATAACTCAACGGGTTCCTGAGCAATCCTTCAAAGTGGAACCTTAGTAAAAATTTTCTCCAAAACTTCAAATTTGATTTTCTCAAAAACTATAAAAGATAGCGATTTCAGGTAAATACCATTTAAAAGCCCTTATCAAAAGCTACAAATCCTGAAAATTTTGTCCCAGTACCGCTTTCGGTTCCCGAGATATTGGGGTTTGAAGATTTGAAAATAAAAATCCAAAGCCTTAGATAAAAGTGCAAAAAATTGAAAATTTTTATTTTCAAATTTTTCTCAATTCTGACTTCAGAAATCGATAGAGCGAGTTCAAATTAGTCACAAACGACTCTTAGATCAGTTAGATTTGAGAATTATAATGAGAGAAAAAATCCTAAAGGAAATCTCAATTTTTGTCTCTGGAAATTTTTTGAAATATTGACACGCTCATGAATGATTGCCCATATCTATGATAGAATTTGAGCAAATTAACTACAATTATATAGCATTGAAAAGAGCATTAAATTCTCTTCAAAACTGTACCATATTGGTTCCAGTACCTCAACGGGTTCATGAGCAATCGCACACCAAAGTTGAACTTTAGTCAAAATTTTGTCCAAAACTTCAAAGTCGATTTTCTCAAAAACTATAAAAGCTAGCGATTTCAACTAAATACCATCTAAAAGCCTTTATCAAGAGTTACAAATTCTGCAAATTTTGTCTTGGTACCACTTTTGGTTCCCAAGATATCGAACTTTGAAGATTTGAAAATAAATATTCAAAGGGAAAAGGTGCAAAAAAATTGAAAATTTTTATTTTTGAATTTTTCCCAATTCTGACTTCAGAAATCGAATCCAAATTAGTCAGAAACAACTCTCACATCACTTACATTTGGAAATTTTACTGAGAAAAAAAATCCAACAAAAGGATATTTTGACATGCTCATGAATAATTGCCCATATCTTCAATGAAATTCAAGCAAACTAACTACAATCATATATCATTGGAAAGAGCATTAAATTCTCTTCAAAACTGTACCAAATTGGTTCCAGTTGCTCACACGGGTTCCTGAGCAATTTACCTTCAAGCAATTCTTACCTTTCAAGATGCTTCTTCAAAATAGGAATTTCATTCAAATTGAGCCTTGCTAGATCTATTCTCACCATCACCGGATGAATGGGTGGTACCCTTTCCTCCTTTTCAACCACTTTGTGATTAACATAAGAGCTTTCTTCAGTCTTAGATGTTGAGGACTGTTTGGGCGAGAACTTTTTCTGGTCCAACATTACAGGCATCGTCTCGTCTTCTACAGAGGAACTGGTACGCTCATAGTCGCCATCTACTATTATCACGTTCACACCTGCTTTACCTACATAATATGTGTGTAATAATAAGTAATGAAGTCAAATAAATTGCTTACCTTTTCCACCTTTGCCTCCTTTGCCGCCACCTTTGCCACCTCCTTTTCCGCCTTCTGAGTCACGTTTCGGGGTAAAAAGCTTTCTTAAAGTGTCACTTTTCTTTTTGTCTGATATTGCTTTAGCTGAAGCTGCAACTGGTTTCTTTTCGTTGTCAGTATCAGAATCTGATATCCTATGGACTTCTGTCCGTCTAATTTTGTGCCTGTCACTGTCACTAGACTCACTGCTACTAGAAACTGTAGTTTTGCTTTTGAATTCTTTCCGTCTAAAAGGTGACGTGTTTGCTTTAGGCTTTTCTGGTTGAAACAGGGACTTATTGGCAGTGGGCTTCTTTTTAACAGGTGAGACAAAGCTTCGTTTTCTTATAGGCGAAGGGCTATCTGAGTCACTGGAACAGGTGGTTTTTTTGGATTTTGTCCGCCTGCGAGGGGGTGCAACTGGTTTTTCGAAGGTTTCGTCATCTGAGCTGCTTACCGGGGCTGATTGACGGGCTTTTGGTGGTCTACCCCTATATACAACAAACAATTTTTAATAGGAGTATATGAAAACAATCAAGACATTCAACACGTGCCATTATTTTGTCAGTAGTTTATAGGTACAATCATGCACAAAAATTAATTATAACATTGAGTTATGGTTAAGGTGTATACATTGAAAAAAACCATCTATTGACGCACCTATACCAAGATAGGAAACTGGTCAGTGGCAAACTGTAACGGAATAACATTATGTTGTTTTTTTTTTTGTGAAAAAGTTTATACAAGTAAGAGTTGGTTTCCTTGTTTTGTAGGTATCAAGCTCTGTGTGTAACTGCAATTTCTTATACACTATTTGGAAATTACAGAAATAATAATCAAGTAAGCTTTGGAATGGAGTCACTTGGGCAAAACCACCTAGAAATTCTTTGCCAAAAATGTAGGGAATTTAGAGGAATTTGTGGAAAATTTAGAGGAATTTGAAGGAACTTGTAGGTTAATTTCCAAGATTCCTCATGCTGTGATTTTCCACTGGAAAAATTTGAAATTTTGAGAAAATGAGCTTCTCACCTTCCGCTTTACACGCAAAAAGTTTCAAAATTTTCCCTTCACTAGTTTTCCAGGAAAAGTTTGAAATATGTGAGACTGTATTTCCAATTAATTCAGTTATTGTAGGTTAATTTCCATGATTCCTCATGTTGTAATTTTCTACTAGAAAAATTTGAAATTTTGGGAAAATGAGCTTCTCACCTTCCTTTTTACATAAAAAAAGTTTCAAAATTTTCCCTTCACTAGTTTTCCAGGAAAACTTTGAAATGTGTATTTTCAACTAATACAGTTTTTGTATGATTTCCAAGATTTTTCATGTTGCTGTTTTCCACTGGAAAAAATTGAAATTTTGGAAAAATGAGCTTCTCACCTTCCTTTTTACATGCAAAATGTTTCAAAATTTTCCCTTCATTAGTTTTCCAGGAAAACTTTGAAATATGTGAAACTGTATCTTCAATTAATTCAGTTATTGTAAGTTGATGTCCAGGATTCCTCATGTTGTAATTTTCTACTAAAAAAATGTGAAATTTTGGAAAAATGAACTTTTCACCTCCCTCTTTACATACAAAAAGTTTCAAAATTTTTCCTTCACTAGTTTTCCAGGAAAACTTTGAAATGTGTGAGACTGTATGTATTTCCAATTAATTCAGTTATTGTAGGTTGATTTCCAATATTCCTTATGTTGTTATTTTCCACTAGAAAAATTTGAAATTTTGGGAAAATGAGCTTCTCACCTTTCTCTTTACATGTAAAAAGTTTCAAAATTTTCCTTTCCCTAGTTTTTCCAGGAAAATTTTAAAATGTGTGAGACTGTATTTTCAACTAATTCAGTTTTTGTAGATTGATTTCTAATATTTCTTATGTTGTTATTATCCACTAGAAAAATTTGAAATTTTGGGAAAATGAGCTTCTCACCTTCCTTTTTCCATGCAAAAAGTTTCAAAATTAATTTTCCCTTCACTAGTTTTCCAAGAAAACTTTGAAATGTCTAAGATTGTATTTTCAATTAATTCAGTTATTTTAGGTTGATTTCCAAGATTCCTCATGTTGTAATTTTCTACTGGAAAAATTTGAAATTTTGGAAAAATGAGTTTCTCACCTTCCTCTTTACATACAAAAAGTTTCAAAATTTTCCCTTCACTAGTTTTCCAGGAAAACTTTGAAATGTCTAAGATTGTATTTTCAATTAATTCATTTATTTTAGGTTGATTTCCAAGATTCCTCATGTTGTAATATTCTACTGGAAAAATTTGAAATTTTGGAAAAATGAGTTTCTCACCTTCCTCTTTACATACAAAAAGTTTCAAAATTTTCCCTTCACTAGTTTTCCAGGAAAACTTTGAAATGTGTAAGACTGTATTTTCAACTGATTCAGTTTTTGTAGGTTGATTACCAAAATTTTCCACTTGTAAGAGACATTTGTAGGAAATTTGAGAGGAGTTTGGAGGAATTTGTGAGAATTTGAAGGAATTCGTAGGGAATTTAGAGGAATTTGTGGGGTATTTGGAGGAATTTGTGATGGGGTATGTGGAGGAATTGCAGGAATTATGCGTAAAAAATTCCCCTTTGAGGAATTGCTTGCACCAATTCTGGGATGGTGGTTTACTCCTTGGTTTTTATAACTATAAAATGTCCCAGAGAAGTCATTCCTTGGATTTCCTGGATTGTCTATTAGTGACAAAAACATACTTTTTGATCCACAGTTTATAGGGATTTTAAACTGCAAAGAAACTTGTAAGAAGTTTCCAAATATCCAGAAGTTTGTTTTGTATTTGGAATGGATATTGGGCAAGAGGAAATAATGAATTAAACATCAAAGGTACAGGTAAATTTATCACCTTTCCCTATCAAATAGCATTGAAAGGTGATAAATTTTACCTGCACCTTTGGACTACACAGTGCGAATAGATAATAAAAGGAAAACTATAAAAGTAATGTATGGTACTATGTTTCATAGAGAATCTATTGCTTTTTCAAATAAAGTACCATGTTAATTATTGGTTCTATAACAATTAAGCCAATAATTGAAATAAATCATTTAAATTATAAATATTTTGCGCACGCCACTGATTACTAAATTATTATATTTAAACTTGATTTTCTTTGCGCAAGCCACTGAGTTGCCGTCAAAGTAGGCCATGGAAATTTGTGACATTACATCCATATGTCTCTTGCTAACTGCGATAGGTAAAAAGAGACAGAGATAAGCTGGTAGAGTATTTGATTTTGCAGCTAACTTGTGTGTTTTTCATAAAATTTTGTAGTTTTTCGGATTATTTTAATGCAAAAAAGTGTTTGTCGTCATGGGCACTGGACAATACGAAAAATTATGGGTTTTTGACCCATGCTGGCCGGGGCCATGTAAATTGCAACGTAGGCCTTTTGTGGTACCATTTTATTCAGAAATATAAGCTTTTACATGAAACTACACTTATTTCTATTGAAATAATACCAATTTATTGAAGAAAACACATTTTTATTGAAAAAATACAATTTTTCAAATGTAATTTGCATATTCGTGGATAGATGGCGCCACAGTCGGCCATTAGCACCACCATTAACCTGTCACTGTTTATAACACACAAAATAATAAAAGATGGCTAATTTTATATTGCTTTTTGTCAATTTCAAATAAAGGAACGTTTACATTATTTATTAATTCCAAATATCAAGTAATTTTCCAATAATTACATATTACAATTGAGTGTGAACGTACCTTTAGCTACGACAGTTTGACAGAACGTCAAAATGGCGACCCGGTCAGTTTGTTTGTTTACAAAGTTTCTTATTTTTTATAAATTTTCGTGGTTTTTCGAGTAGTTTTCGGGCGAAAATAGTTTAAAAATGTTCGTTGGAGTGTTTCACGTCGAACTAGCTTATTGTCACAAACATTATTCGAAAAATACACTCGTTGTTTGAGGCTTTATACCTTGGAGAAATGGTACTTGAGTACTGATAGAGGTACTTTTACAGTCTATTGATTTCAGTATCCCATATAAATTAATTTCTATTGAGGAAAGAATATAATATAGTTATTTTGTAGTGTAGGTACTTTTGTAAAGGTACTACATATCTTTGGGTATAGTTTTTCCAAAGTCAATTGGAACCACCCGTAGCTAACTAGTGGCAATGCATTTCTTATGGGAAATTTTCAGTAACCGGTCAACCACCAATTGGTACCTTGTTCCAATTAAGTTTGGAAATACTTTACTACAAACTGGAACCAGAGTTGAACATTAGCTAGCTAACAAGTAGTTAAGTTATGTACTAATTTAAGCAAAACTAGCTTATAGCTGTAGCTATGTGTTCCATGTATCGATGAGCTACTTTGTGAAAAAGCTAGCTACTAAAACAAGCTACTTTTGGTAGTGTTAAAGTTACTATTATTGCTTAAGCTACAAGTATTATTTGTCCTATGTAGCTAGCTCAGACTAGTTTCAACTTGTCTCTGTCTATGTCATGTTTTATTCTGAATATGTAGCTGAGTTACTATGTAATTTAACTACTTATATTAGCTTGTAACTTGTAGCTAGTTACTTTTCTCAAGTGACTTTAAGGGCCAGTTTCACAAGACACTGGTAACCTACAATATATCTGTTCCATAATGTGAAGCTTAGCCAAAGCACCATTGGTCAAGCTTCAGAATTTTCAGCTCCAGTTTCACAATTGGTAGTTACCTGCACTGGTTATCAAACTTGTCAAAGTAGGTTACCAATATGTCTTGTAGTTACCACTGTTTGTGAAATTGGCCCTCAATGTAGTCAACTTGCAACTATGAGTTTGATAACCGGTGCAGGTTACCACCAATTATTGTGAAACTGGGCCTAAAAGTATCTTGATTATGTATTTCCAAAGATCTTTACATTAAGTACATACAAAATTGTACTAAAATATTGTTTTGTTTCAGCTTGTTGCTGGAGTTTTGACCAATTGCCAACAAGTTAAAGGTAAGTGCTAGCTCACTAAGTCTTTATTGGTCAATTTTTGAGGTTAGAAAATGAAAACCTTTGCAGTAATCCAGTCTGAGGTGGAGGGGGGAGGCAGTGTTTTTTTCCTAATTGATTGATGTAATTTCGTCCTATATTGTTGCCCTTAACCAATTTGTATATATCTGAAACCACAGGTAGGTAATTCCAAATGAGCAGAGCAGGATTTATAACAATAAATAGCATTACAGTGGTTGGAGAAATCCTGAAAATTTCCCAGGAAAAACTGGAGATGAAGGCCATGTCTTAGGTCTTGAATATGTCTTCCAGATTGAAAAAATCATATCTCTCTTATTTTGGATTTTTGTGTTATGAAATTTTGTTGGGTTAGAGTTGAAAGGTTCCTAAACACATAAAAAAATATTTGGTTCCATGAAGTTGATCAACTTTTCAGGAAAAACCTCTGTAAATGGCCATAAGTCTTAGACGTGTCTTTCAGGTTGAAAAAATCGTAACTCTCTTATTTTGGATTTTTGTGTTATAAAATTTTGTTGGGT